ACGAGCACAGAACATGAAATTATCAATAATATCAGTTCAGAACTCACTAGAAGCTCTGTTCTTTCAGAACGAGTACATGTTAAAGAAACTGAGAGGGTGATGGTGATCAACTGAGAAGAATTGGATTCAGATCGTGATACTCGATACTGATTCAATAATGAGACTGGAGAACTCTTGATGCGACATAACAAATTGCACTACAACACCAACTACAGAGAGGTCATCCAAGAGATTCAAGCGCTCTAAGAAAGTAAAGAAGTCTCAGCAGACAAAACGCAATGTATTTGTCTTTTTCTACTCATGAGGAATGACTGAAGCTCAGGGATGACGCAATGGATCTATAACTAATATCTCGTTGCGGTGAAAAGAGAAAGTATCAAGCGGCATGTCACAATATTGTAAACTTTGAAAATCATGAAAAGCTTAAGTGAATTGTGGAAATGTCTTGTGATATACAGGATGAGGACATGAAGAACATGATTAAGGAATTCCTTCAACTTTGCCAAATACAAAAGATTCAAATGAAATACCATCATTACCAGTTCATCACGTGTACTCTAAGTACTGAAACAAGTCCTGTGATAAGTTTACACTTCAATATGATGCTCAGCTCGTGAAAAGCTAACTGGTGAACTCTACCCTCTACATTCACCGACTGCTCGAAAACCACAGTCCTACAATTATGCAGTAAAATTTATTAACTTTCCCACGTGCATGATAAGACACAGAGCAAACGCGACTCCATCCATAGAAAGACACAGGTATAAATATTATATATGCTTCGCATCCAAAAGAAGACTACCTCGTTGATGATTGTTTCTACCAGCTTGCCAAATGTGTCAGAATTATCGCATCATGGTTATGCGCGGGAAACATCGGCTCCATTCCAATTTCGCCAGCACCTTCTGTATAAGGCACATAGAATCATAATGTAGGGTGATTGTATGAACAGAAAAATATACAAACAAGGTCTACATCACATAAATCAAAATCTGGGTGAATCCAAGGTCTTCTATTCCCAAACTTTAGCTTGCGTTAATTGGAATGTTAATGGAGCGCGCAACATTCCCTCACCCACAAACTGATGGAGCCAACTCATGCTGGTGTTTTGGTCAGTGCAAAAATAAGTATTTAAGCTTGTGCCAATTTTGACAAAATTTGTTAAATAATTATATCAAGGATAAAAAGAGGAGTTGGGAAAGTGTGTTCAAAAAGGCAATTAACTAATAGAAATTACTAACTAAATAAAGAGATATTAATATTTCTATACTTGTAGTTGTACATTCTAGTGCTTTCAATATCAAAGAAAATAAATAATTAAAAAAATATCACTTATTTAGAGTTGTGGTACATAACTATACAAATCAATATCACTTATTTAAAGTTACAGTGCACAATTATACAATCAATATCACTTATTTAAAGTTGTGATGCATAACTATACCAAAAATAATGTTATAGCAAATTAATATACTTATTCAAAAATACTTTAACTATATTTAAAAACAAAAGTAATAATCAGAAATTCAATTCTATACAAATTAATATTCAGTTTCTTGATCTTACTCAAGATTTATTGAATTATAAGATTAAAATTCAATCAACAAATTATTTTTGCTAGGTAACTTGTTTCGATAAAAGAAGATACAAGAATAAATATTAATTTTTATAATAATTAGAATTCCAAAAAAAAGTCTGGTTCAAAAATTTGAACCTAATTAAAAGTCTGGTTCGAGTTCAGTTTAAATTTTGAATTAGACTTGAATCTAACAAAAAGTTTGGTTCAAGTTCAAGTAATTATTAGTTAATGTTCTAAGTAAAGTTATAGATTATAATATGAGCTACATATTTAAGAAGTTATATGAATTTAAAAAATAATTTTAATTATTACAATTTTAATTTACTTTAGTTTTAGTATAATAAATATTTATTTTGCTATAGTAATTAAAAATTATGATTATAAGTAAAGTTATAACCAGAAATAAGAGCTATAAATTAGTATAAAATACTATATGTTGATCTTTAATCGAACTCAAACCAGACTTGAACTTGTATAATAGTTTAGTTCAAGTTCAATTCAAACTTTAAATCTTTCTTGAACTCAAATCAAAATCTGATTCAAGTTCAGGTAAAAGTTTGATTTATAGGAATACTAATAACAGTAAGATAATTATTAACTTATTGTATCAAAGATTAAAATTTATTAATTTGTTTAAATATTGAAACATGAGAGAGTGTGTGTAGAGACAACATTCCTATTTATACAAAATTTTTTAATATATTTTAATTCTATTTACATTACAAAATTATAAAAAAGAGATATATAAAAAGTAGAAAAGATAAATAAAAAAAGATAAAAAAGGTAAAAAAAGGTAAATAATAAAAGTAAAAAAGGTAAAACAGATAAATAATAAAGATAAAAAAGATAGAAAAGATAAATAATAAAAATATAAAAAATAGAAAAAATAGATAATAAAGATATAAAAGATAGAAAGATAAATAATAAAGGTATAAAAGATAGAGAAGAAAATAAAGATATAAAAGATAAAAAAGATAAATAATTATATGATTATTAAATAATTAATATATAAGGTAAAAGAGGGTATTATAACACATATGAATATTATAACGCAGTCAGAATAATATGCAATATCTTAATATCTAGTGGTTCGAATTGCACCAAAATAATATTATTCAATTCACTATAATTATATGAATTGAATGGTGATATTTTGATGTGATTTGAATCACTAAATGTCAAGATATCACACTATATATCAAGTTATTTGACAATTTACATCAAAATTTTAACGTATAATAAATTTTGAATTCAATATCTTGACACAAAGTAAATAAAATCACACCAAAATAACACTATTTGATTTGTTATAACTAGACAAATTGAATGATATTAGTTTGATGTGATTCTGTTCACTTGGTATCAAGATATCGCATCTAAAATTCAGATAACTAAAATAATGCACTTTAATTATATTTAATTAATTATATTTAATTTTTGCTCTTAAACAATAGTTTACATAATTATAATACAATAAGTCTCATAATGTAAATGAGTATATATAAACAGGCTCAAGAATCTCAATAAAAAAAAGACAGAATTAATTGCGTACAATTCTTCTCCAAGTAGTTAGTATATATAAAATATTTGTAGTATTAATTATAATAATAATTGATAATTAGATTCTTTTGATTTAGAAGAAAGTGACAAATATTGTAAATTGGATTATTAATGAATTGTTTAATATGTTTAATTGAATAGTTTAAAGCTTTTGACTAGAAAAAGTAAATGTTTAAGTTAAAACTAAGCATGATAAAGAAATCCCAAATTACTCATCTCCTCTCTCCCTTATATCTATTTTTACAAATAGTATCTGTAGATATCAGCATATAACTTTAGAAACTAATAAGTACTATCAGTTTAATTACCTATGCAAATTAATCAAAAGATGAGTTAATAATTAATCTATATAATATAATTAAGAAAGCAGTAACAAGAACTTACCTGATCTCGTACAGTTTTCAGTTGCTCAGCTGATCACTGTCAATAGATCTCTTGGATAACAATATAATTTTCCACATTAGTTATCTGTTATACCAGATCTTTTAGAGATTAATAAAATAATAATTTATTTGTTTATACATTTATAGATTAATAATACAATAAAATTTAATTATACCTTATAAATAGAATTATCTGCCTTTAAATTTATATTAAAATCAATATACTACCATATAATGATCGATCTAAGTAATATAATACTATTATAAATACTCTTCAAACACTTAAAAATTTTCTAACTAATTCTAAATTTCAAAGTAATAGAAGTATTACAAAAAAGTTTGGTCTCTCTAAAGTCATTCTAAGATGTGCTATTAAAAATAATGGTCCTCTTAATTGTTCAGGTACTGTCAAAGTTTTAACTGATTATAAAGAACAATAACTTGTTGGCTATTGCTTAAATATGCAAAGACTTGATTTTGAACTAACAAGATCAGATATAAATTAGTGTGTAATAAAAATTATCAATAAAAAAATGATCTCATCCTTTTAATGAGAATAGACTGAGTTAATCATGATGAGAATACTTTATAAGAGATTATTCTGAGCTTTCATTTTGCATTCCACAAGTCTTGAATGAGGCACACACACAAAGAACCAATCCTATTATAGTAAAAGATCATTTTGAGAAGCTTCAGAAAATTATTGAAAAATATTTACTTACCACTAATCATATTTGAAATATGGATGAAACAGATTTTATTCTTAATCCTGAACTTTAAAAAGTTATTGCAAAGAAGAATGCATGCCAAATCCATCAAGTTTCAGATGAAAATTCTCATGAACATATTTCAGCATGTCCAACTATCTCAGCTGCTAGAACGTATATCTCACCATTAATTATTTACAAAGGAAAGTGTATAATTTCAAGTCTCTTAAATAATGCTCCTGCTGGTTTTGTCATGGAATTCACAGAAATGGGATATATGCAAGAGAATCTTTTTCAAAAATATATCAAGGATTTTATTTGCTCAATTTCATCTACTCATTCCATTTTATTAATTCTTGATGATTACAAGAGTCATGTTGACTATACTAACATTAACTTTTATCATAATAATAATATTCTTTTATATATACTTACAGCTTATACTACTCATATACTTTAACCAGCTGAACTTTCTTTTACTCAGCTTAAAAAAGCATATAATAAAAGTTGTAATCAGCTTTGTGTTAATAATAATGAAGAGTTTGTGACAAAGCATACATTTGCTAAGATTTTCAGTTTAACTTACATTAAAATTTACACATCTATAATAATTTGCAATACCTTCAAAGTGATTGGAATATGACTATTTAATCCTAATACAATTAGTTTTGACTGTCTTGATCCTTCATTAGTAACTGAATAGTTTGATATTATTCCAAAGTAACCTGCTTTACTGCTTGTTATAAATATAGCATCACTTTCATAGTCTTCTCTAAGATAAAATTCAAGTAATATACAAGAATTTAAAATTGAAAATCTCAATATTAAAATTAAGCAATTGGAGGCTGAGCTGGAAATGACAAAGAAGGAATTAAAAATTTTTAAAATTTTCAGTATAAGTTCTTTGCAAATAGTACTTAAGTATTTTTTTCCTCGTATTTTATAATCAATTAATGAGTTAGAGATCAATACTGAAAATCAACTTGAGTTTCACATACAAAAAAAAAGAAGCAAAAAACTATGCCATTTTCTCAGCTTATTATCAATAAGATATTATTAAGATTGTTAAAAGATACAGAGAAGAAAGCATAAAAAAAACCAATAAAATAAAATATAAAAAAGAAGTTATCGCTCAAAAATGATTATTACAAGAAGTTGAAAAGGCACAAAAACAAGAAATACAAGCACAAAAGAAAGAAGAGATGGAACATGCAAAAAAGGAGAAGCAATGGTTAAAAAAAGAAAAAAAATATAAGAAGGTTGTACAATATTAAATTATATTTTTTGATTATCTAGATTAATATTTGTAGTGTATTATTTTTGATTAATCATCTAAAAATTATAAATTTTTAGAGAAAGTTTCTTTATTAAAAAAATAATTTTTTTAGTTTAAATTTTTTTTATTTTAAATAAAAATATTTTCTTTGAAATCCAAACAATATATATTTATTAAAATTTTTTAAATTCTATACCAATTTTACAAAATTATATTATTAGCAATATTAATTGTATCATAATACTCTTATCTATCTTATATTTTTATAATTATTTGTTTTACTTTTGTAATTTTGAAAAATGTATAAATAGAGATGCTATTTGAACCTTAACTCGACATATTATAACTAAAAATAAAAATCTTTTTTAACAAAAATCTTCTTCTATATACTTCCTGCCTCTCATATTTTCTTTATATACATTAGATAATATCAGAGGACGCAGTTTTGTGCAGATCTTTGAGTCTGAAGTTTTTCAAAAATCTTTAAATCTAGCAGTAATTTGTGAAGAAAAAAAATTCTGTGCAGATTTATAATAATACATAGATTTGCGCAGAATTTTTATTTTTTTTAAAAAATTCTGTGTAGGACTTTGT